GCTTACATAAATTTCCCACCGTGTATTAGGCTTACATTTCGTTGTCTGACAACTTTGTGTTTCTTACGTATGTTTGGTGCTCGTTGGGTACCTGATGTAATCTTTGTACGGATTATTAATTGAGTTGGTGTTCCCCGATAGGGTAGTCTCCGTGTCTCTCTGCTTGCGATACCACCATCTGCCCGTCGCAGCAATACGTTATTTAAATGTAAGCTTTAATTGAAAGCATGGTGAAACTGTTCATTTATATATGAATTTAGTCGAGACACGACACACAATGTCTAAAATTAGTCTGCTTTTGATATTATAAGACATTGAAAAGATGTCCACAACGACCACATTTGGACTATAAATAGCCCATACATGGAGGTCCCACGGCTGTCAATACTAGACGTTCATTAGACGTCAAAAAAAGACGTCGCCTGGCCTTCCATACTAAACAACCCCTTCAGTGGACCAAAATTGGACATCCAAAAACTACATATTAAAGACGTCATTTCGACGTCACTTTGCGCAGTGGGTGATTGCAAGATATTATTTGTGGAGCTGGGGCGGCATGGTGTCGCATGGTTAGAACAGTCATATCCTACTTGTGGGACCATGCAGAGTTCAAGTGTCCGCCATGGCTCCGCGTGTGTGGAGTTCGCATGTTCTTCGTGCGTCATCGTGGGGTTTCCTCCCACAGTCCAGAAACATGCTGAGGTGAGTTGGAGTGACCAAGTTGCCCGTGTGTGAGTGTGTCTTGTGATGGGTGAGCGTCCTGTTCTGGGTTGTTAATCCCTGGATGGATTTCTGTAACACTCGAATCAAAATGTTCGTTTGTTAACCATATAGTTAATAGGCAAATTAAAATTCAATTCCTGCGATTTTAGTGGTTATTTTAAAGTTACAACTCAGGCCTATCAAATATGCTATATTTTTATGTCACTCAACGATAGTAGTAATATTTAACGGAATATGACTGAATTTCACAATGTGTTAATGGTGTTATGCTATTATATTATATTAATTTATATTATATTATATACAAACCTTCATTATACACTCAAAAAATGAGTCGTGGCCGTAGTAAACATTAAGAAATAGTTTTAAGTAAAATGTAACTAAAGTATCTGAAATCAAAAGTTTTTTTAATGTGAAGCACATACACATAATGTGAATTTAGTTAACCCTTACTAAATCTAAATAAACCAGGTAAACTATATTTGACTAGCTGACATAAGGTGTGACATATATTACACTCCAGCACAGTAGGTGGCGATAATGCAGCAATTTTGCGGTGAAATAATTATTGCCACGCCTCCACGAATGTCGGACATGATTTTGGCTGAAACAGACGGGTGTGAGTTTAATTCTTGTCTTTTTTGTGTTAATATGTCTGTGTCATTTATGATGTAGCTTATATATTACTAAAACATTTTTGTCACCTTAGCACGTGTCTTCTCTGCAATTTTGCTGAGTAACGTTACACTTTTACATTATTAAGCAAAATAAAACATTTTTCTAGGGACCACTGATTTAAGCACAATGTATTTTGTCAGCAATCTGTATTGTCATTTCTTTTCTTTTAGTCCAGACTTGAACTTCAGCTATAGGTGTGTAAACACTCTCATCTCAGTCTTATAGCTCATAGTACTTCTGTTTACCAACTTGCCGCCTCTCTTTAGTCAACTGTCAAAACGCAATTACTGGTGTGAGAATAATTTTTATGGACAGTGTGCTGGAAAATATAAAAAAATGTCATTTTATATGCCTTCTTTTGCAGAGTGAGTGCATTAAACTCAAGAGGGATTGTATAACAGCTCCCAAGGTTCTTCATTTGGTGCAGAAAACATACGCCGACTGATGTTGAAGTTATTCCGTCTTTATTCTTCTTTAACACCGTGAAAAACTATAAAATAAACATATTACTAAATTCCTACATTACATTTAATCTTACAATCATAAAGGATCAACAATATTACCGTTAAACAGCAGCTCACATATCACCACAATTACAAACAAACTTTCAACACAAGACAACAAGTAAATACAATAAATAGAAATTACCATGTGCACCTTCTGA